GGGAGCCTTCATGAGAGAAGGAAGACCCAAAGAAGTGATCAGAGCTGGAAGCTCCTATACATTCTAGACAGAGAAATGATAGGTTTGTAGAGAAATGACAGGACAAAGGGCAGTAAGTTGTGGGGAAGGACGAGGTGATACCTGTGGGGGCAGGAGGTGGAAGGAAGGGAAGATCAGGGTTATTTGGGAAGTGTGTTTGCACAGATGCGGTTGGGTGTGCACTCCCGGCCTCTGGTGATCAGGATGTTCTCTTGCTGGTTCCTTTCTCAGGGGAGAACCCCTTTCTCGGGGGAAATGTTATGACCTGCTTTCGGAAAGGGGATGTCAGAGAGCCGTTTCTACCTCTGCTGCTTCTCATGTGCCCTCAGCTGAAAATAACCGGTATGCCAACGCGGCATATTCTGGGGGAGCGTGTCCTGAACCCCTCCAGCCTCACCGATCAGTTAAAGGTCTTAGGAACAAACCTGGGATTTCCGGGGGAAGAAGGAATTCTGCCTCAAGGCTGTGGCAAAGGGTGTGTGTGTGTGTGTGTCTGTGTGTGTCTGTGTGTCTGTGTGTCTGTGTGGGTTAGGGGGCTTGAATCCTATTGGCTCTGTGTCTCTGGAGAATTCAGACTGATGCACAGACCCATCTTGGAGACCTGCCCACCATCTCCCACTTTCCTGCATATCTTTCTCAGTCCTGTTTCCCTTCTTTGCAGAAAAAGGCAGGTGATTAGATTTCACTACATTTTTAGTTTCATTCCAGTTTAGACTCAGAGCTTTATAATGGTCAGTGTGCTTCTGGTTGGGCTTTTAGTGCAGCTGGTGCCTTCGAAGGACGGATGTTCCGGAAAACTGGCAAACTCGTGTCACTGAGCAGAACCTGCTGGACTGCTCTTTGTCTCAAGGCAACGAGGGCTGCCATGGTGGCCTGATGGATTATGCCTTCCAGCATGTTCGGAACAACGGAGGCCTGGACTCAGAGGAATCTGATCCATATTGTGCACAGGTAAGTGGAGCTCCTCACCTGTTATCATTCTAGCTCTGCTCTCAGAGTTGCATGCTTTTGAAGAAAACAGATACCATATTTAATATTTGCATTTTAAATGGTGGACTCTACAGCTGGAAGCTGTCAGAACTCTCGTTAAACTATATTAGCCGGGCACGGTTCTCTGCCTAGATGGTTACCACGGGGCTGTTTTTATTTCTATGCTACAGGGAGACATGCACAGCGTTCTATAGAGCATACAGATTTCTCCCGAGTGAAAACATTCTTAAGGACACGTAGACCCAGAATAATTCATTGAATGCACACACGGTAGTTTTTCAGTTTCAAAACAACCACCAGCATTTCAGCTCCTGGGATGCGTTACGACAAATTTGGCTTGGAAATCCCTTACCTGTAAGCTGTCTTGAACTCATGTTCCCCAGGAGGTGGATGGTAGCAATCAAGTCTCTTCCCCTTTCCCTTTGAAAGGACGGATCCTGCGAATACATGCCCGACTCTTCTGCTGCCAACGTCACTGGCCTCGTGAACATCCCTCAGCAGGTGGCGTCCCTTCTGGTGGCCGTGGCAGCTGTGGGGCCCGTCTCGGCTGCTATCCGGGCAAGCCTGGATCCCTTCCGGTTCTATAAAGAAGGTAAGCATTTGTCTATGTAGAAATACAGGTAGGAAAATTGGAAAACCACGCTAACATACAGCAAGTGTGACACTTTGGTATGCAGAATTCAATGTAGAATTTGGGGGGGTGGTGTGGATTTAACAGTTGTTCATCCTGTACACGTAATATTTCTGCCCGCTCTTTCCGCTTGCCATGACTTGACCCAAATTCCCATGATTTTAAACACATTATAAATATATTTAAATGGCTACATAATTTGATTGGTATAGCTCGCTTTACTTTTTTCCAATTGTTAGACCTTGAAAAATTTTAAAGAATGTTACTACTGAACTTAACACTGGAAAGAAGCCCTTGGCCCAAGTAATTTTATGTTCTCTGCTGTTTCCCTAGGCTCACATCCCTTAAGGAGAATCATAAGGTTGTGGCAGGTGTTTTTTTATGCCACTTGACTATTGTTTACAAATGAGATTATGACAATTGGTATTTCTGCTAGCATTAGATGAGGGCCTAAACCTCTACTCTAGCTAAACAAAACCACCTGACTTTTAAATCTTATCTGGATTTATATCACAACTGAATTTTGATACGTCTCCCTTACCATGGTTGATTCGCTGGGTTACTATCACATGTCACGTGGGAACCCTCACCCCAATATTGGATTTTACTTTCCAGGCATTTATCATGATCCAAACTGCAGCAGTGAAGACCTGGATCACGGTATTCTGGTGGGTGGCTATGGCTCTCAAGGAGAAGAACCCGAGAACCAAAAATACTGGAATGTCAAGAACAGGTATAAAAAACCAAGAATACTTATCTTGGAAATCGAAAAGGATTTGGAATCAGTGTTTGGAGGCAGATCCCCCAACCCTTGAGCACACTTCTGAAATCCCAGAAGTGTTTACCCCACTTGGTTGGAACACAGACATATTCACGTGGTGACCACAGTAAGGTACTATCTCAAGCTTGCTAGGGTCCTGCGATAGTTTTGGTACCGTTGCATTTCTAAATTGCATTTTTTTTTTTAATTTCCGAAACACATCTGGCCCCAAGAGTTTCCTTTTCCTGCTTACGCTGCAGTTTTGTGAAAGGTCTGGGATAGAAGTATTGTGTGCTGGGTTAGAACTCAAACATGGACAGGAACGGCCTCTCCGGATTCTTCCGGAATCTGTGCTGGCCTCTGGTGCTCTGCTCAGTACCAGGTGTGATTGTTCATGAAGAGAAATGTGTTGGATTGTTTGTAATAATTGGCAAACGCCGTCTTCTTCCAGCTGGGGCACGGACCGGGGCACTCAAGGCTACATGCTGTTGGCCAAGGACCGGGACAACCAGTGTGGAATCGCCACCATGGCCCGCTTTCCTGTCATGTGAGCTGAGGATGCAAAGAAGGCCTTGATTGGGGACAGAATGTCTGGAAAACGAATTTTATTTTAAAGCTGACCACACCTTACTGTGTGGCTGAAACACTTGAATCACTGAAGATCGCACTTATGATTTGATTCCATGACTTTCACACTGGAGACATCGCTACCTCCTTACTCCCTGCTCTAATCAGCGTTGTGTGAGTCACCTGCTTCATGACTTCTGAATTTTCATGCTTTCAAAGGTTGCAGAAAGTTTCACCTTTTAAAATATGGGGCGCCTGTGTGGCTCCGTCAGTTAAGCATCTGCCTTTGGCTCAGGTCACGATCTCTGGGTCTTGGGATTGAGTCCGCGTCAGGCTCCCTGCTCTGCAGGGAGTCTGCTTCTCTCTCTCTCTCTCCCTCTGCCCCTCCCCACCAATCTTTCTTTCTCTCTCAAATAAATAAATAAAATATTTTTAAAAATAAATAAATAATAAATAAAATTTACTTGCATATGCTGAGGTGTGATTCTTTCTGTTTTCTTAAGATTTTATTTATTTGTGAGAGAGAGAGAGTATGAATGGGGGAGGGGCAGAGGGAGAAGCAGACTCCCCACTGAGCAGGGAGCCTGATGCAGGGCTCCATCCCAGGGCCCTGAGATCATGACCTGAGCTGAAGTCAGATGCTTAACCCACTGAGCTACTCAGGTGCCCCTCTTTCTGTTTTTAATACACAAACTTCTTTATAGTTAAAAATGTAATGGTTTGTAGGGAGGAAGAAATCATCTTATTTCCTCCAAAATTCTTCCAACTGGTTTAAGAATTTAATTGACATGAGACAGATTAACGGGAGGAAAAAAACCCCACAAAGTTTCATTACACAGGCACAGAGGCCCAAAGAAATTACCAAGGCAGGCAGAGTTGTTTTGTTTGTTTTGGCAGATGTTATAAATTTTAAACAAAGACAATAATCTGTGAGAAATTGACAGGATAGAGAAAACAGACGTGTGAGAGCTTTAAATCACAGGAATTCTAAGTGGAATTTGGGCTGAGGTTGTAGATTAGTAAAAAAGCCACAAGGTTTGTTTCCACAGCTTTCTGAGCTTTGAAGTCCCATCTGTGTAGCTAAGGATGTCTTTTTACTTCGTAGTACAGGGAGGGTACCTCTCATACGGGAGACTCGTTTCCTGCTTTCGGGGGACAGAGGACAGTCTGGGTGTCCTCGCACCAGCTGTTTCCCAAGTAGCTTCGATTCCAGATAATCAATGTACCACTGTGGCACATTTTGGGGTGTCCTCCCTGGACCCCACAGTTTCTTTCTCTAAAACTCTCCTGGAAGTTTTATAGACTACTAGCTGAGCTGGCGGCTGTAGAGAGAGAAATCCCGTTAATAAATGAGTGGTAGGAAATCTGCAAACAGTGAAGAGAGCACAGATTAGAATGAGGGTGAGTAAAAGGGGTACAGGCTTCCAGTTATGGAGAATAAGTCACAGGAATAAAAGGTACAGCATAAGGAATATCGCCGATGGTGTTGTCAGCGCGTTGTGCTTGTACCGTGAGAGACTGACAGACAAGAGCTACCCCTGTGGTGAGCATAGCTGACTGTATGGGGTTGGCAAATTACTGTGTTGTGCACCTGAAACTAATGTAACATTGGGTATCATCTATACTCAAAACATTTGTGGGGGGAAGCATGAGGATGAATAAACAGAAAAGAACACATTTCCCCACACCTCGTGAAACCAGTCCCACAACCCTCGAAATTGACCAACCCAATCAAATGTCTGTGTTTCATTCATCTGTTGGAAAATATTAGTCCTTTTTTTAAAAAAACAGATTTAAGTTAGATATTATGTGTCTCACGGGTTTACCCAAAAGCAACATTTTTCACTGATGATTGGGCAAGCGCCCCTGCTGGGAAGACCCTGTCCCTAGGACGTGATGATTTGGGGATTGGGATTCCCGTGGAGGCTGAGCTGTTACCTTCCGACTGGAGTATTCTCAAAGCTAGCATAGTGGCCCTGAACTTTGTTCCATTACCAGAGAGAGTTTTAGGATTGCCTTTTCTAATTCACAATCTCTGAAATTTGGGAATAAGGTCCTTAATGCTGAAAAGAACTTGGAATTCTGATGTATCAGCAGATTTTCTATGATTTTTCAACAGGCATGTTTGTGTGGCACGATTTTATGACAGGTGTAATATGATGGGCATTGAGAGTGGAGTGCTCGGTCCCAGAGGAGTCAGGTATCCAAGTCCATACGGTCGTGATGGACTTGGGCGGGACCACTTCAGGTGGGACCCCTTTCTATGCTTTTGCTGCCATATGAAATAAAAAGACCAGTGTGGTTTATAGACAAGGTTAGGTTGGAACCTGTGATTTTCAAAGTCTGGAGTGTTCCATGACCTTTGCCATTGCTAGTGTTAATGTCCTTACATCTCCATTTCTCTTGCGGTCCTGTCAGTCCGTGAGAGCAGAACAAGTTGCAAAATAGCTGATGTAAGAGGCTTGTGGTTTTGCTCTGGCGGCGAGAAAGTTTAGTTTAGTCACCCAGCCACGTTAAGCCCAGATTTTTGGTCCACATTTGTGGGTGGCCTGCCTTTGGTCAATACAGTTTCTTCCTCTGAAACTTTCCTGGGGGGTTTTCACACATTCAAAGTTGAGCTGATAGATTGTTTCATCTCCTTGAACCAGTCTCTTAGTTCTGACAGTGGGTCAGTTCAATCAAATTCACTTCAGGAGGAGGTGATGCAGCTGTGTTCTCAAAGGCAGGCCTCTGCTTCAAATGATAGGTAATAAGAGGCAAATCAGGGGCACCTGGGTGGCATCCTACTCAGTTGAGCATCCTGCTCAGTTTTGGCTCAGGTCATGATCTCAGGGTCCTAGAATGGAGCCCCATGTCAGCCTCTATGCTCAGCAGGGAGTCTGCTTGAGATGCTCCCTCTCCCTCTGCCCCTCCCCCCGCTTGCTGTCTCTGTCTCTCTCTCTAAAATAAATGAATAAATCTTTAAAAAAAAAGAGTCAATCCTATGGCAATAAAAGCAAAATAATGGTTAATGATTGGCTCAAATTAGAAACCAGTTTCTGAGTTCTGAGGGTAACCAGTCGAGAGAATTTTTAGATGTTGCTCTTAAAGCGTCTTTAGACAGAGGAAGAGTAGGTAATGGCAGTCTGACAGATTTTCTTGGCTTGTAATTTAGGTGTCCCTGGTGATTTTCTTTGTAAGATTGATTGATTGATTGATTGATTTGAGAGACAGAGAAACCACAAGCAGGGGGAGAGGCAGAAACAGAGGGAGACGGAGAAGCTGACTCCCTGCTGAGCTGGGAGCTGGACATGGGACTCGATTCCAGGACCTGGAGATCATGACCTGAGCTAAAGGAAGATGCTTAACCATCTGAAGGACCCAGGCACCCCTCCCTGGTGATATTTTGAGTGGCCCAGAGAGAAACAGGCACGAAGATTGTCTATACATGAGCTGTTGTGGTGATTTCTCTGAAGTGTCCATCAAGTTGTGCATATGCAATTTGCAGGGCTTCAGGAAAAAGGGTACTTTTAGTGATCCAATGATTCCAAGCCAAAAGGGTGGGAAAAAGTGGAAAACATTAGTTTGGAGAATTGTAGCCAGGCTTTGGGGGAAACTAGAAGAAATTAGGATTTTGTCCCGTTTATAGTGAACTCTGTTAGAATCTAATATCCACAAGGTTGTGTTATTGAAACATAATTTTTCTTTCTATAATCACCCCCATTTTTACCAAGGACAGCCAAATTAAGACTAATTTATTTGTGAAATAGAGTTGTTGTTGTTGTTTTTGTTTTTTTAACTTGGCCTGATTATCAAATTGCTGTAAGTCATAGCTTAAGAGAAAAGTTTCCTAGGATTCCTTACTAATTAAAGCTCCCAAACATCTGTTTTCTTTATCCTGTTAATTCATCATGAATTTCTGTCTCTTTGTCTACAGTGTATAAAAGCCACCTGCCTTGCTTATAGACTCAGATACAAGTTTTGGGCTGTTTTTCCAAGGGGCTTTATTGGCTCCATAAAGTCTACCTGAGTTCCTTAAAGCAGTCTAGTCCTATATGAGTCTGTGCATGTCTCCTCTCGAATATGACATTTCAGTCAAAGCCTTGGTAATATAACCAGTGTTTCCAATTGTGTCCTGTTACAAGGAGAGCAGATTCTTACTAAATTTATGCAAATAAACATATCATCATGAAAATATAAGAATACTCCCTGAAAGTTTTAAAATTCTGGACAGACCAGGTAGGGAGGAAAAGATAAATGTTCCAGTTTGTTCACAAAGGTATATAAAGGTATATTTTGTCCAACTGCTTTAAGTTATAGCTGAAAAGAAAATAGCTTCTTTATACTGGAAAAAAGCATTTAATAATCAGTGTCTCAAAAATTTTATAAAAATTATAATCATCCTCTATTCATTGAGTTCCAAATGATTAATTCTTGTTTTGCTTGAATCCAAATTAGCTCCAGAAATTCTAACCCAGTTCAGTTTTATGCTCTTAAGGTTATCAGAAACCTATATTCAAGAGTTCTTTCCATCAGTCTTACTGTAGATGAAGCACATTTGCAGAAAGCTCTGTAAAAGCATCTGAGTAAACCTATAACTTCCTGTAAATTATAAAAGACTTAAAAACGGCCATGCTTAAAGACCTGATGAGAGATCATTACAATGTAATTTACAAGGAAATTGGTTATTTCTATGAAACACAACAGTTCAAGGTAGTAATATATCAGGACATAACAGATTTCTAGGAGTTTCATACAATTTCTAGAACACTCATTTTAAAAACATATTTCTATATAAATATAATCTAAGAGTGCTTAGTATCATTTATTTGACACTGCTTCCTATGTAACCTAACATAACAAATAAGCCTTATTAGTGTAATATCTTCTTTTTTTTATAAAGTGACCAAATCTCTTGAAAATGTTGCACGGATCCTCTGGAACATTTTATTTTTTTATTATTATGTTATGTTAATCACCATACATTACGTCATTAGGGTTTTTT